AGTAATGTTTTGTCTATAAATTGCTTTTAAAAGCTCTATTGCTTTCCAAATGAAATCTAAGGATCATTGTGCTTTGAGCAGGCTGCTGATGTGTGATTTGATAAGTTGGTGCTAATTTGTTTCCGGCAATGCTGTGTTATTTTGTCGTACTCAATAACTAAATGGAAAGGCAGGTTTGATATTGACCACAAATGTCATGTAAATAAAATGAAGCCAGTTTGTAGTACCTGAAGTAGATGTGAGTGTAATTCAAGTCAGTCTTTACTGAACCAGGAACATAAGCTATTCAGAAGCAGCTTTATGTTTTTTTGCATATTTGTAGTTTATTGGTATTTGTACTGTTCAGAAAAGCTGTAGGGTTTTTTTAAGTAGGGTTTTTTCAAGTAAGGTTTTAAAAGTTTCTAAATCTGGTTCAGAATGAAGTTTTGTCAGAGTTCTTTTCAGACACTGCAATTTGAAATGAAGTATGATGAGCAGCCCGCAATATAGTTCTTTGGTGTCGCTTTGGCCAAAAGGCTGGAATAATGTATATAATAGGAGATAGAATGAATACAGTTAGATTTAACTGCAAAAAAAATGACAGCATTTGGGCTCTCTAAAAATCTGTATACTCTATCAGAGTAAAGTAATAATGATAATTTTCAGAAGGCATTTGATAAGGTACCACACAAAAGGCTGCTGCATAAGATAAAGGTGCACAGCATTATGGGTAATGTATTAGCATGGATAGAGGATTGGTTAGCTAGCAGAAAGCAAAGTGTGGGGATAAATGGGTGTTTTTCTGGGCATCCAATCAATGGCCAGTGGTGTGCCTCAGAGATCAGTGTTGGGACCACAATTGTTTTGCAATTTATATGAAAGATCTGGAGTTGGGCAGCAAGTATAATGTGTCAAAGTTCGCAGATGACACTACAATGAGTTGTAGAGCAAAGTGTGCAGAGGACATGAGAAGCCTGCAATGGGATATAAATAGGTTAAGTGAATGGGGAAGGGTCTAGCAGATGGAGTCCAGTGTAGGTAAATGTGAAGTCATCCATTTTGGTAGGAATAACAGCAAAATGGACTATTCATACAATTCATACAGTGTGGAAGCAGGCCATTTGGCCCAAAAGTTGACACCAACTCACCCCCCACTACCCTGTAACCCTACATTTCCCATGGCTAAACTGCCTAACCTACACATCCTTGGATACTATGGGCAATTTAGCATGGCTAATCCACCTAACTTGTACATGTTTGGACTGTGGGAGGAAACCGGAGCACCCGGAGGAAACCCACGCAGACACGGGAGAATGTGCAAACTCCACGCAGACAGTTGCCCGAGGCCAGAATTGAATCCGGGTCCATGGCGCTGAGTCACTGTGCTGCCCGACTATTATTTAAATGGTGAAAAATTGCATCATGCTGCTGTGCAGAGGGACCTGGGTGGCTTTGTGCATGAATCACAAAAATTTGGTTCACAGGTGTAGCAGGTAATTAAGACGACAAATGGAGTATTGTCCTTCGTTGCTAGAGAAATGGAGTTTAAAAACAGGGAGGTTATGCTATAGCTGTACTGGATGTTGATGAGGCCACACCTGGAGTACTGTGTACAGTTTTGGTCTCCTTACTTGAGTAAGGATGTACTGGCACTGGAGGGCATGCAGATGAGGTTCACTAGGTTAATTCTGCAGTTGAAAGGTTTGATTCATGAGGAGAAATTGAGTAGCCTGGGACTATACACTATGGAATGTAAAAGAATGAGGGGTGATCTTACAGAAACATAAAATTATGAAAGGAAACATAAAATAAAGGGAAGCAGATTTAGGACTGAATTGAGGAGGAACCTCTTCACCCAAAGGGTTGTGAATCTGTGGAATTCCTTGCCCAGTGGAGCAGTTGAGGCTACCTCATTGAATGTTTTTAAGGCAAACATAGATGGATTTATGAATAATAAAGGAATTAAGGGTTGTCGTGAGCAGGCGGGTATGTGGAGCTGAGTCCACAAGAAGATCAGCCATGTTCTCATTGAATGGTGGAGCAGGCTCAATGAGCCAAGTGGCCTATTGCTGCTCCTATTTCTTATGTTTTTATGTTCCTATGTTCTTAAAATGTGTGTAAAATACAGATTCAGCTGTAATTGAATTGTTATATGATATGCTCATTTATAAAAATACATTAAAACAATTGAAGTATGTTTATGTGACATTTACCAGACTGATACCAGGGATGTGAAAATGTGCGAAGATGAGACTAATTCACTATAACCTTGATTGCTGAAGTAGCAAAGGCTAAGAGCAACATTCATGGAGCTTTTTAAAATTGTGGAAGGTTTTGTACAGTGGAAAGGGAAAGCCGGCTTCTTCTCATTGGTTTATCAATGATAAGGTATCATCAGTTTGAAATCCTGACAGGGAGAACAAGGAAAGGATTAGGAATAGTTTCATATGGCTGCCGATTAGAGTTTAAAATACTTCACCGTAACTGTTTCAGCCAGAGATCAATGCATCTTTTGAAAGAAAATTCCATGTACTTTGAAGCAGTGTAAGTAAACTGAGAGAAGAGCTATGTGGTGAATTTGTCACACAGCACATAGATAATGAACTGAATAGCTGTTTCTTTCTGTATTGTAAATTTCTACGCTTGCAGGGCAACAAATGATTGTGTCAAGTCATTGTACTTGCAATCATCTAGTATTTTAAGTGCATTAGGATGTTGTTTGCTGCAGCTTGCATATTTTGTAGAACAACGACTTGGGCAAGATCCTCAGCGCAATAAAAGGATTCAATATTCTCAGCAGCATTATCAAATAAAGTATGACACTAAGCCACAACAGAAGATATTGCATCAGATGGCTTAAAGCTCAGTCAAAGAGTTAGTTTTTAACGAATATCTTAATGGAAGAAACCTAGCTAGAGTTGTGCGTGGGAGGTATTCCAGAACTTGAAGCCTAGGATGATGAAGGCATGGACACTAAGAAGAGCATAAAAGCTTGGAGCAGGTTCTCGAGCCTCCTGCACCGTTTAGTATGATCATGGCCGATCTCGTTTTGGCCTCAACTCCACTCTCCACTACCTTTCAACTCGTTATAAATTAAAAATCTATCATCTCCTTACATTTACTTAATCTCCCAGCATCCACCACACCTTGGGGGTAGTGAATTCCATAGTTTTGCACATCTTTGAGAGAAATAATCTCTACTCAATTCTGTTTTAATTCTGCTACCCCTTATCTAAAACTATGGACCTTTGTCCTAGATTTCCCCACTTAAGGAAACATCCTTTCTAATTCTACTTTATGAACCCCTTTAGCATCTTTATACCTCAATTGGATCTCCTCTCATTCTTCTGAACTCCAGAGAATATCAGCCTAAACTGCTTGTCTCTGACTACCTCCAATACAGCTGCATCTGTCCTCAAGTAAGGCGCCAGAGTTTTATGCAATACTCCATGTGTCGTCCTAATGCCTTGTGCAGTTGCAGCAACACTTCCCAACTTTTGTACTCTATTCCTTTAGTCATAAGGGAGGGGAGGTGATGGCTTAGTGGCATTATCACTGGACTGTTAATCCAGAGACCCAAGTAATGTTCTGGGGACCCGGGTTCAAATCCTGCCACGCTAGATGATGGAATTTGAATTCAATAAAAGTCTAGAATTAACAGTCTAATGATGACCATGAATCTGTTGTTCTTTGTTGGAAAACCCATCTGATTCAGTAATATCCTTTAGGGAAGGAAACTGCCATCCTTACATGGGTCTGGCCTACATGTGACTCCAGACCCACAGCAATGTGGTTGACCCTTAACTGCCCTTTAGGCAATTAGGATGGCCTAGCCAACAACAGTCTTCAATCCGTGAATGAATAAAATAAATTTACTAAAATTCCAGTTGCAATGCCAAAATTTCATTTACATAATGGTGATGTTGATACGAGTTCAAATTTGGGCAGCAGGACATCATCCCTGCATCTCGACACAGCTTTTGTATGTACATTGATGGCATCTAAATGTATCTCTGCAACAGTTCTTTCCATCCTCCACTGCCTGTGCATTCTCAGACTGTTTGACTACTATCAAGCTAAACATTAGGTTTGTTTATGCCATTAACTCAGTATTACAAACTAATCAATGTATTCGCTACCAAATCCTTCCCTTGCCCCAGCTATTTGTCATGCTGAACTGGATTGTTCACGGTCCTGTTCTCCCATTTATCTCCAGAGACAAGCTTCTCATCTCATATTTTCTGCATTACGAAAGCTATTTACTTCCACTTGCTTTATCAGTTATCTCCACCCAAGCCTTTTAAGCTGCTGTTGACATTTCCATCCATGCCATTGTCGCTTACAGACTGGACTTTTCCGACATCCCAGAAGGCAATCTGATTTCAGTCTTCCATGAACATCAGTCCACCTGAAGCACTGTTCCTGTCTTCTAACCAGCATCAAGTGTTGCTCACCCATCACCCTGGTTTTTGCTGAGCCACATGAGACCCATCCCAGTTGTATTTGATCCATTTTCTGCAGATGTGTCAGGATATCACGTTGGTATCTTGATAATGTTTCGATTCCTCACCCCACGGATATGATATCCCTGCCCCGGCGTGTATGAGCTGACACCGTTTGCTGGAGCTTTGGTCACCTCTATAGGGCATAATTTCAAATGTTTCCTTCCAATATCTTGCAAAAGGATTGAGCATCAATTGTTAAGCAACTATTTTGTCATCCAGTCCTTTTGTAAAATTCCCACATTTGCTTTTCCAATGGGGCAAAATGGATAGAGCAGCAATAAGGATCCATTGTACATAATGGCTTTATGCATTAGTCGATTGGGAATCTGAAGAAACACATTCCTTACTCGTGGAATCAGATTCCTGGTTGCGCAACATTAGGAAACAATAGTTGGAAATTGAAGCTATGTCTCACAAGGTGCAAGATCTTTTATTTGGATAAATGTGAACTCATTTTGTTAGTGAATGGCACCCCTCAACAATCCTTCTCCTTTTGTAACCAATTTTGAATTTTAGGGTCAACCTATTTCGATTGAAAAATCATCACGTGCCACTCTTGGACTGCACCTTAATTCGGAGGTGAAGGGGCTGATTGAAAGAAATTGAGCTTGGTATAAAGATCATTATCCTGAATCTTCAACTCCGTCAAGTGAATTGGTGAAGGAACTAAATTCACTGATGGGCATAGAAATGCCAGTTTGTGAATGGATTTCACAGGAGTGGGCAGAAATGATTAATTGTGGTTTGTATTTTTGTTATGTGGCATGATGTGTGTTCTGAATCCAATAGAAAAGCAGATTAGAGGTTTGTGTAATTCAGTCTAATCATAATAGCTGTTTAAAGGGTAAGTGTGCTCTGAATTCACAGGAAAAAATAGAAAGTACTTGGCTGTGTTGTTGTGCATTTAGCATCCTATGGTCTGTTTACTAAGAGAAGAGTACATTGGCTCGTCTTGTTCACAAGGACCAGCACTTCCCCTTTAGTTGCTCACTCAGTCATCAGTAGGCTCACGGCTGCAATTGCTACAACCTCTACCTGAGCAGCACAGTGATCTCAGTTTATGGGAAAACCTCTGACTTAGAACGACTACAACATGAAGCAAGAGGGTCTGATACGCCGCAGGTTTTCCTTGTGTGCTGGGCTACCAGGTGTGCTGTCATCCCGAGTCGATGGACGAAAACTCATCAGAAATGCATCATTTGGTGGCTATAATGAACTTCCTGCAATACTGCCAGGTTTGTAGTATCTCTCATCTTATTATTAAAAGAAATCTCACGACTAATGATTGAAAGCAAAATTGTAAAAATGCAAAAAGGACAGACTCGGGTTATAGCTTTAGGGTCAGTTATTTCTTAGTAGATTAAATGCAGAACACTGTAATATGTATGAAAAATAAAATGTAACACTCTTCCCAGTTTAACTTGAAGGATTCATCAATCATTATCCTTGTCGAATTATTTTACAGTGTATTTGAACAAAGAAAATTTTCAGCGCTTCGAACAAACTTCGGATTTGCTTGAAATGAGAGAAATGTTGAAGTATATTGCATGAGACACAATCTAAGATATTTAAGTAATTAAAGTAACTGATCAAGTAATATTCATTAATTCAAATAGTTTTGTTCTCTCTGGCAATGATAATAGATTGAATAGCTCAGGCTAAAGGTGCCATGTCTAATTTAGTTGTCAGAGGATGCATGTACCTTCCAGCGTAAATTGTGGAACTCTGACACCAATCTGATTTCCACAATTCTACTTCCTATTTACACTTCTACTCTATACTCTCTCCTCAAACTATGGGCAGCAATTGCCCCCAGTTTACAATATCTGTGGGAAACTGGGTCTTGTGCTACCAAACCCTAAATAATTTGTTTAGATTTTACTGGCAGCTGGTGGTGAGAGAACTGCCTCGTACCTGTCATCCACAGTGTTAAAACAAAAATGACTAAAGATTATCTGGCAGTCATTTCTTGTGACTGGATCATTTGAAGTGAAATGTGTTTAGGGGGCTGTTGTAAATTTCTTTATAGAAAGCAATAGCCTGCAGAACTGAACTTTTTCACAACTGGCACGCAGAGGAGGGGAGGATTTTACTTTTTAATTTAACTCTCAGAATACCTAAAAAAAAAAAAAAAAATTCACACATCTTTGCAGGACTAGTATTACAAGTTTCATTTTTGGCATACTATAAAGTATACTTGTATTGGGCATGATCTAAGGCCTTTAAGTAATTTAACTTTTTTTTTAATATACATTACTTTTTTGTGGTCTGGTTTAGTTGAAACTTTTCATAATTGTTAACCAAGATAAAATTGATTCTGTCAAGGTCCAGAAAGAATATTTGCACTGACCTGCAAATAAAAATGGCAAATGGCTGAGTAGTCAAGTGGACTGACTGACGGTAGAATTGGGGACATTGACACGAAGAATAAGGTGACATAGAACATAGAACAGTACAGCACAGGACAGGCCCTTCGGCCCATGATGTTGTGCCGACCTATTATTCTACTACGATCAAACTACCCTGCGCACCCTACATTTTACTATCATCCATGTGCCTATTCAAGAGTCGCTTAAAAGTCCCTAAAGTATCTGACTCCGCTACCATTGCCGGCAGCGCATTCCACACATCCATCACTCTCTGTGTGAAGAACCTACCTTTGACATCTCCCCTATACCTTCCTCCAATCACCTTAAAATTACGTTCCCTCATAATAGTCATTTCCGCCCTGGGAAAAAGTCTCTGACTATCAGCTTATAAAGACGTGAGGGAAAGGGAGATGTAGATGGTCAGTCTAACCATAAGAAGTAGGAACAGGATTAGGCTGTTCAGCGCCTCTGCTATTCATTCAGATCATGGCTGGTCCGACATTTCTCTCATCCACTTTCCTGCCTTTTTCCCATACTCCTTGATACATCTACTGATCAAGCTTCTACTGATCAGAATCTATCTGTCTCAGTCTTAAATATAAACTAAGGTAGAGGAGTTCCAAAGACACTCAGTGCTCTGAGAAGAAATTCCTCCATATCTCACTCTCAAAATGACGTCCATTTATTCTAAGACTGTGTCCTGGACTTTAACGTGAGGCAAAACATCCTTTCAGCATTTAGCCTGTCGAGCTCCTTTAGAATCCAGTATATTTCAATAAGATCACCTCTCACTCTTCTAAACTCCAGTGAGTCCCAACCTGTTATCCTTTGCTGATAACACAATCCTTCCATACCAGGGATCGTCCCAGTGAACCTTCTCTCAACTGCCTTTAATGAAGTTATATCTGTCTTTAAATAAGAGATCAAAACTGCTCTCAGTACTCCAGTCACAACAGCACCTTGTACAGTTGCAGTGTGTTTTCCCTACTTCTCAACTGACACAAGTAGCTGCAGGGCATAGCAAGAGAAACTCTGGGGCTGAATGGTTACATCAGGGCAGCATAATGTTGAGCAAACTATGCATTTTTTTTTTCCATAAAGGGAGAATGATGGAAAGATGATTTTTGTTTATTAAAAACTGATTTCAATGTTAATATTGGTCAATTCCTTTTCTCTGATACTAATCTGTCTGAACATTACAGGCATTGTTACTCTTATTTATCTATCTGTTAGAACTGAATACCTGCTTATTTAAATTACAGACCTTTTAATTGGAAAGAAGCAAATTGGTAATTTGCCATAGCTATTCAAATGTTTATAAAGTGCTCAAGGTACAGAAAAAAAAGATGATGTTTCAGGGTGTATATCTCATTCTGTTACTTCACCCCCCATGTAGTAAATCGAAGCATAAATTTGGGAGTGGGGTTAACTGTATGCACAAAATCGCTGGACATTCATCAAAGCTGTGACTGAAATATTCCAGGCCCCTCTAAACAGCTGACTGGAGGATTACAAATGTGACACTTTTTTTTAAGAAAGGAGCAAAGAATAACCTAGGAAGCTATAGACTTGTCACCTTGACATTGATCATGGGAAAACTGATGGATGCTGTAATAAGGTGTAAGATAAATATGGACTTAGAGAAAAAAAGTTAATACTGAATAGTCAACATGGCTTTGTCAAGGGCAGGTCACTTCTTAAAAATTTAATTGAGTTCTTTGACAAGGTGACACAGACAGTGGATGAGGGTAGAGTTGTGGATGTTGTATATTTGGACTTTGAGAAAGCAATTGATATGGTGCCATGTGCAGGTTGGTTAGCAAATTGGAAATATTTGGGATTGATGGGAACTTGGCAACATGGTTTAAAGATTGGCTGAAAGATAGGAAACGGAGGTTTGGTAAAGATGAGCTATCTCAGATTGGAGATGAGTTGAAAGTAGTGTTTTTCAGAGATCAGTATTGGGACTTTTGCCTTTTCTGACTTATCTAAATAATTTGGAGATGGGTGTTGAGGGAAAAATCTCTAAATTTGCAGATAATACAAAGCTATAGAGAATAGTGAATTAGAGTCAGAGTACAGAGGTTTACTGACTGGAAACAGGCCCTTTGGCCCAACTTGTTCCTCCACCCAATTTTCACAATTAGTCTAGTCTCATTTGCCTGCATTTGATCCAAATCCCTCCATACCCATCCCATCCATGTATCTGTCCAAATGTTTCTTAAATGACAAAATTGTACTCACTTCTGCCACTACCTCTGGCAACCTGTTCCAGACAGTCACCACCATCTGTGTGGAAAAAATAAGTACCTTTTGTATCTCGCCCCTCTCACTTTAAACCTGTACCCTCTAATTTTATACTCCCCGACCATGGTCAAAAGCTGTTGGCTATCTAAGCTGTGCCTATCATAATTTTATAGACCTCTATAAAGTCAGTCCCTCAGTTTCCTGTGCTTCAGGGAACAAAGCCCCAGCCTCTCCTTATACCTCAAACCTTCCAGTCCAGGTAGCATCCTAGTACTCTCTGCACTCTGCACTCTTTCCAGTTTAATAATATCCATTCTACAGTAGATCTATAGTATAGGATTTGTGAGGAAGACGCTGAGTGACTTCAGAGGGACATTGACAAGTTAGCCAAATGGGCAGACAGCTGGCAAGTGATTTTCAATGCAGAGAAATGTGAAGTAATGCATATTGGTAGCAGAAACATGGAGAGACAATATAGGTTCAATGGTACAACTTAGAAGGGAGTACAGGAGCAGTGGGATTTCACAGTTCAAGTGCATAAGTCTCTGAAGGTGGCCAGGCAAATTGGAACAGTTGTTAAGAAGGCTTGTAGGAACCTTGGATTTATAAATAGAGGCATTGAGGATAAAAGCAAAGAAATGATGTTACACCCCTACAAATCATTGGTCAGACCACATTGTACTGTGTTCAGTGCTGGGCACCTTTTTTGTAAGGAAGAATATTAATGCTTTGGAGAGAGTGCAAAGGAGATTTACTGGAATGATAGCGGGAATGAGAGATTTTAGATACAAGAAAAGATTAGAAGAATGGGGCTTATTCTCCTTGGAGTTGAGAAGATTAAGAGGTGACCTTGTTGAGGTGTTCAAAATTATGAAGAATTTTAACATTAAAGAAAGATAATCTGTTTGTGCTCATTAGTATGTCAGTAACTAGGGATCACAATTGCAAGGTTGTCAGCAGGAGAGCTAGGAGGGAGATGAGAAACTTTTTTACTCAGAGAGAGTTGTTAGGATTTAGAATGTGTTGCCTGGGAGAGTGATACAGGTGGATTCCATTTGAGGTTTCAAAAGAGAGTTGGGTATACATTTAAAAGTGATTAAATTAGAGGTCTGTGGACATGAGGCTGAAGAGTAGGACTAGCTGCGTAGCTCTCTCAGGAGCTGGTACAGGCACAATGGGCCCAACAGCCGCCTCCTGTACTGTAAAATGCTGTGATTACCTGTGGTTTCTTTTCTGTCTCATTCCCCTATCCTACTAACTGGCTTTTCGTTCCACCCGATGAGATCAACAATTGGAGGACATTAGAGGTCAATTTGATTTGTGTGACATAGAGTTATACAGCATGGAAACCGTCCCTGCAGTCCAACTTGTCCGTGCTAACCAGATATCCTAAATTAATCTAGTCCCATTTGCCAGCATTTGGCCCATATCCCTCTAAACCCTTCCTATCCATATACCCATCCAGATGCCTTTTAAATGTTGTAATTGTACCTGCCTCCACCACTTCCTCTGGCAGCTCATTCCATATGCACATGAAAAAGTTGCCCCTCACGTCCCTTTCAAGTTTTTCCCCTCTCAGTATAAATCGATGCCCTCTACCTTTGACTCCTATTCCCTGGGAAAAAGACCCTGGCTATTCAACCGATTTTATAAACTTCTATAAGGTCACCCCTCAGCCTCTGATGCTCCAGGGAAAAATAGCCAGCCTATTCAGCTTCTTCTGATAGCTCAAACTCTCCAATCTCAGCAACATCCTTGTGAATCTTTTCTGAACCCTTTCAAGTTTAACAACATCTTTCCTATAGCAGGGAGACCAAAATTGAACGCAGTATTCTAAAAGTGGCCTAACCAATGTCCTGTACAGTTGCAACATGACATTCCAACTCCTAAACTCAAAGCACTGACCAATAAAGGCAAGCATACCAAGAGATGCTTTCACCACCTTGTCTACCTGTGACTCCGCTTCCAAGGAACTATGATCCTGCATTCCAGTGTCTCTTTGTTTGGCAACACTCCCCAGGGCCCTTTCGTTAACTGAACAAGACCTGTTCTGGTTTGCCTTAGCAAAATGCAACACCACACAGTTATCTAAATTAAACTCCATCTGCCGCCCCTTGGCCCCTTGGCCCATATGATCAAGGTCCCGTTGTATTTGAAGATAACCACCTTCACTGTCCACTGCACACCAATTTTGGTGTTGTCTGCAAACCTAATAACCATATCTCCTATATTCACATCCAAATAATTTACATAAATGATGAAAAACATCATCAATCTTGTGGCACACCAATGGTCACAGGCCTCCAGTCTGAAAACCAACTCTCCACCACCACCGTCTATCGTCTACCTTCAAGTCAATCTTGTATCCAATTGGCTAGCTCTCCCATGTGATTTGACCTAGCTAACCAGTCTACCATGTAAAACCTTGTCAAATGCCTTGCTGAAGTTCATATAGACCACGTTTGCAGCTCTGCCTTCATCACTCTTTGTCCCTTCTTCAGAAAACTCAATCAAGTTACAAAGACACAATTTCTCACCTGCAAAGCCATGTTCATTCTCCCTAATCAGCCCTTGCTTTTCCAAATGCATATAAATCCTGTCCCTCAGGATCCCTCCAATAACTTACCCACCATTTACGACAGGCTTACCAGCCTGTAGTTCCTTTGCTTTTCCTTACTACCTTTCTTAAATAATGGCACCTAATTAGCCAACGTCCAGTCTTCCAACACCTCACCTGCGGCTATGGATAGTGCAAACAACTAAGCTAGGAGCCCAGCAATCTCTTCTCAAGCTTCCCACGCAGTTTTGAGATACACCTGATCAGGTCCTGGAAGTGTTTTTTTATTCATTTACAGGATGAGGGTGATGCTGGCTAGGCCAGCATTTATTGCCCATCCCTAATTGCCCTGATGACATTGCTGTTGGTCTGGAGTCGCATGTAGACCGGACCAGGTAGGGGTGGCACTTTCTTTCCCGAAAGAACATCAGTAAACCAGATGGGTTTTTCCGACAATCGACAATAGATCCATGGTACAGATAATTCTGCTATAACATGTGTTTTGTTAATGCTAATTGGCTCTAAGGCGATTGATGAATAATGGATGTTGTTTGGATAACGCAAACTTTCTGCTGTAATGGTATAGCGGTTTTCTATAGCGTGAGGTCACACAAACACAACTGTTGTGTTATCGGAGAACTACCTGTAATTATTAGACTCTTAATTCCAGATATTTATTGAATTCAAATACCACCATTTGCCGTGGTGGGATTGAGACCCAGATCCCCAGAACATTATCTGGGCCTCTGGATTAACAGTCCAGCGATAATACCACTAGGCCATCACCTCCCAATCTTTATTCAACCACTTTTATGCATTTTAAGACATCTAGCACCACCTCTTCTGTAATATAAACACTTTTCAAGATATCACCATTTATTTCCTCAAGTTCTCTGGCTTCCATATCCTTCTCCACAGTAAATACGCTGCAGCAGAGTGGGTCTTTTACCCCCTGGAGCATCTTTTGCAACAAAAAATCCTAATCTGTCTTATGATCATTGTTTGAATATTGCTTATTGAAATTTAACACAAAACATCAATTACGTATAAAACCTTCAATATTTGCCCTTTTAGAGTGTTTATATAAGGAAAGAAATTTGCCAAGCGGTATTATTTGCATTTTGAATTTAACAGTTATTAACTTTTAGTTAAATCTACTGAGTGACAGTTTTGAACTGAATGTCTGATGCTAACATTAAGGGTATAGTCGCCACGTTAAAAGAAATTGTTCAATTCTGTTTACACAACTATTTTTAGTAATTCTTGTCATAAGCTGCACCTGTTGGTCCTTCACTATGAATACGATTGAGGACTGAAAGCAAGAAAGTTAGTCATAGGTGCTGAATCTACTTAGAACATGGAACAGTACAGCACAGTACAGGCCCTTCGGCCCACGATGTTGTGCTGAACTTTTACCCTAAACCTAAGGTCTATCTAACCTCCACCGCTACCTTATAGACTCTTAATTGACTTAGTATGTGTGATCGGTTGGCCGTTGACTTCAATAGCTGTCTTTTGAAATGGCTTTAAACTTTAGTATTAATAAATAACCTTATCTCTTAGGTTTGGACAAAGGGAGAGATGATGCGTCTCTCTCAAAGGATGATGCTACACACACAATATCAAAAAGCAAGGTACATTCGATATTTGTATTTCTGTGTCCTGTCACTGTGACGCTGCAGGGTTGTGACCAGTTCGTGTCAATTGAAGTGTGATTTTCCATGAATTCCATTGATATGAGGCTAGTTGATTGCATTTATTGCTATGTTTTTTTAAATCTTTGGCTTGATCTGTCCTATGATCACATCTAACTAATGGTGTCAAAAATGTAAACCTGAAATAATGAAGGGTGAATGATCTTGATATATTGCATGCTTTTTAGAATAATATATAAAGACAAGATCAAGTTTAAGCTGTTTTTCAATCAGCCAAACAGCAGAATCTGAAATAGCCACTCAACTTTTGGGCAACTAAATGCAAAATAATGCATCCATGTCCAATTTTTTAAACTTTGGAGATGTGAACGTGTCTTGATTGATTTTAATTCTATTTTGGAAGGCCGGCAGATACACTTCCACTTTTAAGCATCTGCCAGAGAGGTTAATATTGTACAATCAGAGCAGAGAAACAAATCTAACCTCTTCCAGAAAGTGTGAATATCAGAACAAATCAGCATCAGTTTAATTGTATCCTGAGCTTGCATAAATGAAGGGCTTTTTGGGAGAAAGATCAGAAGATTCCAGATGATGTTTCTTGGCCAAGCAGAAAGTGTCCAACTTCAGAAGACTATGAGCTAGAATACTTTGTAACCCATTCCATTACATTACTAGATGCACATGAATGAGAGAGAAATTTTTCAGGAAGTGTGAGGGGTACTCCAGAACAGTTAAGATTTCCGAAGTTTGATGTACACAGTTCTGCTGACCTCAAGGAAGTTTGATTGCAAGAAATTCAATACCCAGAGATTGTGTATTCATTATCACATTGCGATGGTTCCGCGAAACAGTTGATGGCCCCTCAGAAGTACTTGATTGACTATGAATGCTCTGGGTCTTCACATAGTTGTGACAGGTAGAATATAAATTCAAGTCTTGCTTCTTAATGGGGTTCTGAAATAAATAGGGAGGCGGGGAGGCGGATAGAAGATGGATAGAGGAGAAGATAGGTGGGAGGACCACCTCAAGCTCCACCCCCATCTCTTAACCACTAGCCTCATCCAGCCCCCTTGATCTGTCTGTCCTCACTGGACTGACTGATCCCCTCCCTAACTCCCCACCTACACTCTCACCTTTACTGGCTCCATCCCCGCCTCTTTGACCTGTCTGTCTCCTCTCCACCTATCTTCTCCTTTATCCATCTTCTATCCACCTCCCCCTCTCTCCCTATTTATTTCAGAACCCCCTTCCCCTCCCTCATTTCTGAAGAAGGGTCTAGGCCTGAAACGTCAGCCTTCCTGCTCCTCTGATGCTGCTTGGCCTGCTGTGTTCATCCAGCTCTACACCTTGTTATCTCAGATTCTCCAGCATCTGCAGTTCCTACTATCTCTGAAACAACATCCTGGTGAATCTCCTTTGTACCCCCTCCAATGCACTCTCATCCTTCCCATAGAGTGGTGATCGGAAGTGCATGTGCAGCTCCAGCTGTGCCTGAACAAAATCCTCTACAGCCTGTACAGATGACAGGATGCATCCTGTATGCTGCCTTAACTATCCTATAAACCTGTACTGCCACCTTCAGGGATCTGTGGACAAGGACCCCAAAATCTCACTGTTCCTCTGAACTTCCTAATGTCCTCCCATTCATTGAGTACTCCATTGTCTTGTTGAATAGAGGGGGTAGCAGTATTGATGGGCTGAATAGCCTATTTCTCCCACATCCTATGGTGTTTTGTATTGTGACTATCTGATGGTTAAATTTAGTGTCTTCTTTTAAATTTTTCATTGAGTTTAATGATATCACTGGTATCAAGAAGTTAGGAACAGGAGCAGGCCATTCAGCTCCTCGAGACTGTGAGATTATGGCTGATCTGTGGCCTAACTCCACATGCTGCCTTTGGTCCATATCCCTTAATGACTTCGCTTAACAAAAATTTACCTCTGTCAGCTTTAAAATTAACAACTTAACTAGCATCAACAGCCATTTGTGAAAGAGAGTTCCAAACCTCTAACACCCTTTGTGTGTAGAGGTGCTTCCTAATATCTCTCCTGAGCAGTCTGGCCCTAATTCTCAGGCTATGCCCCTAGTTCAATAATCCCCAACCAGTGGAATTAGTTTATCTTTATCCACCCTGTCTTCCTGTTAATACCTTGGAAACTTTGATCAGATCACGCCTTCACCTTCTAAATTCTAGAGAAAACATAACTGGAAACAGTAGCACAATGACACTGTTACTGAAGTCTTAATTCAGAGGCTTGGAGATTTGAGTTCAAAAGGAAACTGGTGGAATTTAAATTCAGTTCATTAAATTTAGAATGAAGAGCTGTTTTCGGTAATGGTAACAAGAGACTGCCAAATTGTTGTTCAAATCCAACTAATTCATTTTTGCCCTTTAAGGAAGGACTGATGTCCTTGCTTATTCCTGCCTGTATGTAATTCCAGCAATTTGGTTGACTCAGAACTGCCCTTTGAAAAGGCCAAGCAAACCATTCAGTTGCATCAAACAGGCTACAGAAAAGCAGAAAAAAAATATAAAACAGGATAGGCCACCTGGCATTGGACTAGGCACCATAAATGATGAAGGCTCTGTTACCTTGCTGTCACTAGGTCAAAAATCTGGAACTCCCTCCTAGCTCCCTGGTGAAGCTGCACCACATAGAATGCAGCAGCTCAAGGCTGAAACTTGGGGACAGTTGGTGCCAGGCAATAATCTGCTATCAACAGTCTCATTCCCGTAATGAGTAAAATGTTGCATTGTACACTCGGGTGGGGACCATGGCTGCACTATCGACCATGAGCTGGGTTTGAGGACTTGCACTTCAAACACTCTGTTCCTCAGGTGTCTGAAGTCTGCATTGGCACATTGGAGTCAATGCTTGACTTCATCATCAGTGTTAGTTCGCACTGAGAGGAGGCTCCAGAGGTCTGGCAAAATGATCCACATAGGGGTTTGCCATGGATTTTGATGGTCAGGGAGAGGGTTGGCAGTGCTGTGCTGCAGAGGTGGGCTGGTCATGAAACTTTGTTTTCCAAATATTTATTCGGAGGCTCGTTCTCTCATACACATCAGTGAACGCGTCGATGATGGTTTGTAGCTCAGTCTCTGTGCACACATGCAGTGTCTTCAGCGTTTTGCAGCTCAGTGTCAGAGGTTGGGGTTGGCTTGGTTCTGGCCCAGAGGCATTAAAGATTGAACAGCTTCCCACTCACCCTGTAGATTAGCTCCATTCCAACAGGGAGCTTCATAGAGACAGGGTGGAGTGTTGCAGTGAGGAAGGTGAAGTAGAGCAATGGTGCAATGATGCAAACCAGCTGGACCCCATTTTGCACTCATAAGTGGGTCTTTGGTGGATCTATTAGTGGGGTTCACGGCTTTCATGACACCCAGAAACAGGCAGAGAATGATGGCGAATTTCTGCCGAATTTGTAGAGAATATCCCACAATTCCATATGGTTGACAAAGTTTAAGGCCTTTGTGAGATCAAAAAAGGCCATTTACAGACATTAATGCTGTTCCCTGCTCTTTTCTTGGCTTTCTGCGGCATTAAAAATCATGATAGGCAGAGTTAGACAGGTTTTCAATCAGTAGTAAGGGAATCGAGGGGTGTGGGAAAAGGCAGGGAAGTGGAGTTGAGGCTTATCAGATCAGCTGTGATGTTATTGAGTGGTGGAACACTTGATGGGCTGAATGACCTACAACGGCTACATCTTATAGTCTTAAGCTCTCAATTAATTACAAAATGGAGTCTAGATATAATTATCGGTTTTCCTTTTAGAAACAGAGCTGTTTTATAACTTCAGTCAGACTTTCATCTAATGCTGAATACCTTCATAAGTTACTGAAGTAGTTCGTGTAACAAGAAGCCAAAAAATAAATAATAAACAAAAAAACAAGGAGCCGTGGATGTTGGAAATCTGGAACAAAAACAGAAATTGCTGGAGAAACTCAGTAGGTGTAACAGTATGTGGAGTGAGAAACAGAGTTCATGTTTTGGGTCCAGTGAACACCCAGCCCACCCTTCAGAAAAGTTCAAACATTTACATAGAACATAGAACAGTACAGCACACTACAGGCCCTTCGGCCCACGATGTTGTGCCGAACTTTTACCTGAATCCTAAGGTCTATCTAACCTCCACCCCTACCTTATACTATCAGCTATATGCCTATCTAATAGGCACTTAAATGCCCCTAATGAGGCCGACTCCACTACCCTTTCCGGCAATGCATTCCACGCCCCTCCCACTCTGAGTAAAGAACCTACCTCTGACGTCTCCCCGATATCTACCTCCACTCACTTTAAAACTATGCCCCCTTGTAATAGCTACCTCCACCCCAGGGAAAAGTCTCTGGCTGTCCACTCTATCTATACCTCTGATCATTTTGTACACCTCTATCAAGTCAAAACCTGCTGAGTTTCTCCAGCAATTTCTACTTTTGAGCCAATAAATAAACTTGGCCCTGGAAGTAGGTTGACCAAAAGCAAGCTATGACCTTGTTAATGGACATTCTCTACCACTTGTTTTATGCAACCTTCTGGTCCATATCCCTCATTCCACTGTGTGCTTCTGCTTTACTGACAATGTTTTTCAGCTTCTGTGCATTCGGTTAGCACAGTGTTCCTCTGCTGCCAAATTTAACTGGGTTGTTAATGAGAGCTCATTTAACAATTTGTTGAGGGTTAGGAGATCAGTGTTGACTTTCATAAATATGAAACATGGTGCTTGTAGGGGTGGGGGTGGGGCACATTTGTTGGTGATATGGTTTTTTAAAAAAACTGTTTCAGGAATTGGTCAATTTAGTGTTCCCCAACTGAAGACCACTATTGCTAATTTTGTATCCTGATTGGGACGCAAGTAGGTGCCCTGCAGCTGTGTTACAGGCAGAATTTGCAAATATTATTCTGGGACTAGAATAACTGACGAATAACTGTACAGGGATCAACATAGATCGGAGGTGAAATCTTGTGTCACCCCTGTAAGTAGGTTTGCTCATGTGATGGGTGAGAACCCCACAGCCTTTCAGATTACGGTTGCCAACCCTCCAAGACTGGCTTGGAGTCTCAAGGAATTGAAGATATGTTTCAAGGACATTTGTGTACAATCCTGGAGAAAACAGGTACATAAAAAATAATTGGGCTGAAGCATAGAGATAGCAAGAACTGCAGATGCTGGAGTCAGAGATAACACAGTGTGGTCACCCGCAAACTGGAGGAGCAGCACCTCATATTCCACCTTGGGAGCCTACAGCCCAATGGCCTAAATGTGGACTTCACCAGTTTTAAAATCTCCCCACCCCGGGACCTGACACAACCTGTCCATCTTCTCTCCCACCTATCCACCCCATCCATCCCACTGACCAATCCCCACCACTCCCTACATGTACTCACCTGTCACCATCTCACCTATCTTCCCCAGCCCCACCCCTCCTCTCTTTATTTCTGAGCTCCCCTCCCCCTCCCCCATTTCTGATGAAGGGTCCTGACCCAAAACGTCAGCTTTCCTGTTCCTCTAACACTGCCTGGCCTGCTGTGTTCCTCCAGCTCCACACTTTGTTATCGTTGGCCTGAAGCATATGTTTTTTTGACTAACTGAGTTGAGTTGATTGCTTTGGTGTGTTCACCATGAGGCCTAGCGAGTTCTCTCTCAATATTTACCAAATATTCTGCATTAGTTACGGACCCCACTCCGTGGTGTCCCTCATGTCTGACTTCCATTTCATCTCAACATGCATCAATCCTAGAACAGCTCACCACTTGCCACTCACCATTTATACTGGGATTCACTATTATCCCTTGCTCATGCACCATCTTTAAAAGCCTGCTGTGTACCCGAACAAGCACTGTTAGTCCATAGCTGCCCTGTCTGGTTCCTGATGTTTGCCCTGGAAATAGCAGATAAGGGTGGGTGGAGGTGGGGTTGGTGGAGGGAGAAGTGGGTGAGAATAGCACCTGCTTTGCGGACAGGGCTATGGAGGTCCCGCTGGACATGGTTGCACAGCCACAGGGCCGCCTCTTCCCCCAGGACTTATTGTGGAGGCCATGACATAAGACCTTGCCACTGAGGTTAAAGCAGTCTCCACCATCTGGAAAAAGGTCTCCACTCCTTCCATGTCAGTGCCACCATCTTTTCTCTGATACCTCTCTCTCTCAGCTATGTTTGCTACTGTACCCACCTCTAACCAAGGCTCATGCTCTGCCATTCTCACTATTGCCTCCAGTGTCTTCTCTCCACTTATCTTCTCCTCTATCCATCTTCTATCCGCCTCCCCCTCTCTCCCTATTTATTTCAGAATCCCCTTCCCCTCTCCCATTTCTGAAGAAGGGTCCAGACCCGAAACGTCAGCCTTCCTGTTCCTCTGATGCTGCTTGGCCTGCTGTGTTCATCCAGCTCTACACCTTGTTATCTCAGATTCTCCAGTATCTGCAGTTCCTACTATCTCTGAAACTGAAAACCTTTCCAAGTCACTCTTGACATCTATAGTTTGCAGCTCTTGTTTCAAGACACTTCATCCTATTTGTTTACCTTATTACTTAACTATTGTCTTTGCTCCATGTATTATAACATCAACTTGACTGGGACTGTTTATATTCTGAATTGTTCATGTTCTGTACAGATGTATTTCATTTTAAAACTTAAATGAAATAAACATAGCTGAGCAAGTAGTATGAAGAAAGTGAATGTGTCTTTGCAGTACTTCAAATATGTGAGTGTTTGACTCTTTGCGACCTGTGAGCTCAGTCATTATTTTTTGCAATATATGTTTGAAAACTCCAATCTTTGTTAATCTTATTAATTTACATTGTTACAGTCAGAATCCAAGCTTTACAATGGAACAGAAAAAGATCTTGTCTCACCTGGGAGTAAACTCACAAAAAAGGAATCTCTTAAGGTATCTTAAATTATATGCATCATATATGATAGAAAATATATTGTTAACTATAAATAAATGTTTTGTTATGAAAATTGCCAATGAACTTAAAAGATTTAGTTCCAAGGCCATTTTCTTGAATTGTGTACTCTTGCCCTACACTGTGCCTCAGACTGGAATCCTCTTGAGTATCAGTGTAATGGTATTTCCAAAATCTCACTGAAATGAAATATTTAGCTTTGTTTCCTTAGTGTCTTCTAGAATTTGGGTAAAGAATGATTCTACTTATTTTCAGTGGAACTCAAACCAGGAGAGCAATGAAATATTCACTTCATCAATCTGTGCTAATTTAGATCCACTTGCTTGAGTGCAAGGATGATGATTACTGTGTGTCACATTTCACCTTCAAAGACAAGGCAGTAAATCACTTGTTGGTTCAGTGTAACAAAGCACAAGAATAATGTGTTACCTCACTCTTTTTGTTGAAATCTTGGCCTTAAAATTCTCCATCTGTATTATCCCATGCTTTGTGTATATAATGATAGAGAACAATTAGTCTTGTTACTGCTACTCATTTTGTTAACATAACTGTACTAAACTGAGATAACGAGGTGTAGAGCTGGATGAACACAGCAGGCCAAGCAGCATCAGAGGAGCAGGAAGGCTGACGTTTCGGGTTGAGACCCTTCTTCAGAAAAACTAAACTACATTGACTTTAGTTCATAATAAATTCACAATTTTGTGGAACATTTAGGGCCTGTCTGGTTGCAGGAGGCCTGCATGTATAAATGTCAGTTTTATTGGTGTTCATTATTAAACAGATACTATAATTGCAGGTTCAAAAGAAAAATTACAGAGAAGAGAAAAAAAGAGCCACAAAGGAATTGCTCAGCAGTATTACTGATCCTTCTGTAATAGTGATGGCAGACTGGCTAAAGGTGGGTGTGATAGGAGCTCCAGCTGATGCTTATTAATATTTGGTACATTGCTTCACAGATATGAAGATTGATGACCAGTTACATTTACAGATTTAATTCCTGTACTAAACACGACGATGTAAATTGATAAATATGTAAAAGATATCTATGTTATGATAAAGCTGTTCTGCAGAGATATTCATTTTTGTTCCTTTCATGCCACGTTTTTTCCAAAACCTCGTTATAAGTGGAAATGATTAATGGTGGATATGCAATGAATTAAACATAACCCAGTCCACGTATCAATAGATAACATAATTTTAAAAATAAATGTTATCTTTAACTTGAATAATTTTAAGTTGAATGTTATGAGCTGTAGAATCAAGGGAACCTGTGGGATAATGGTGAAGTCACTGTCGATTGAAGTGAAAACCCATTTGGTTCACTAATTTTTTTTTTTATGGAAGGAAATCTGCTGTCCTTATCTGCTCTGGCCTAAACAGCAATGTGGTTATCTCTTAACTGCCCTCTAGGCAATTAGGGATAAGCAAGAATAAATGCTGGCCTAGCCAGTAACACCCATATCCCATCAACAAATGAAGATAAAAACAATTTCAAATATTTTTCTTGTCTCAATTAACCAATGTATAAGTTCTTATCCAAAGCCAGATCATGTTGCTTTTCTCCCTGTGTTTCTCTCTGCCTCACCTTATCTATTGCTCTGGAGGTCAGTTTTGCGTCCCTTGCAAATCATCAGCCCCAGAAGGATTGAACACACATGATGTGTAATGCAAATATTTCTCCATTTCTGCATTTCTGAATTTTCACTCTGATTAATCAGCTTTCAAATGTTTAAAAAAAATTCAAAAGCTTTCATCAGTAATCTGAACACATGTGTGGTCTGCTTCTCTTATTGAGAATTGATGCTTGTTTCTCTCTCAGCCTGATGAGTTGTTAATCCTGGTGATTGCTGCTCAGTGTGATCTCTTCTTTCCATGACAACCTGAAGCTTCAGGACAGTGATGACAGAGTACTGTTGGACTCATTCATGATTTGGAGCAGGGTCAGATGGGGTTGTGTCCCAATAGTCTTTGACATTTACTTCTTTTAACTGTCAGTTCCCTTGAGCTCACCTACAGAGGGTACATGCCAGAACTTTGTCTACCTGAGGCCCAAAACAAAAGTGCTCCAAGACCTTGTCAGAAAGTTGTTCTGTGCATTGGCAATGTCACTGGATTAGTAATTCCAGGCTTAGTCTAATGCTCAATGGACACTGGTTCAAATCTCACCACAGCAGCAGTTGACTCTTAACTTCCCTCAAAGGGTAACTTTGGAATAGACAACAATTGTTGTCATGGCCAGCAGCCACAAGGGGGTGATGACCTAGTGATATTCTTGCTAAATGATTAATCCAGAGACTCAGGTAATGTTTTGGGTATCCAGGTTCGAATCCTGTCATGGCAGAAAGTAGTATTTGAAGACAGTAAAAATCTGGAATTAAGAGTCTAACGATGTCCATGAGACCATTACCAATTGTTGGAAAAGCCTGTGTCCTTCACTAATGTCCTTTAGGGAAGGAAAATGCCCTGCCTACCTGATCTGGCCTCTATATGATTCTAGACCCACAACAATGTGGTTGACTCTTAACTGCCTTGTGGGAAATTAGGGATGGGCAGTAAATGCTGGCCCAGTCAGTGATACCCACATCCTGAGGATGAATTAAAAAAAGATTAACTTTAGGGACCAAAATCAGTTTTCATTCATTGTCCTGTGTGCTCTGCAATTGCATGAGGAATTATTTCAAGGAAAATGAAAGACAAATGAGTGGAGTTCTTTGTAGTGTGGCCACGTGATTACCTTTAGAACATGTCAATTATCACCCTTGGGTCAGTTGCCATCCCTCTTCAGGTTATTGCATAATGGATACAAATTCTTGAAAAAAGGCCAGAGAAGACTAAATGCATTTCTGTTTGATTAGTTAGTGCAGTTTGGCATTTCTTAGAGTGTTAATATAGAGAACCATATCAAGTTTGATATTTGTAAAACAACTAAACTGGGAGATTGCTTTGCAATTATTAAATTTGCAGAATGATGAAGTCTTTAAGTTTGAAAAAAGCTACTTGCTTGTAAAATTTATGCTGGGTGTTGTTGGGATTACAGATCAGGGAGGCGTGAGTTTAACAGCACATTTAGTTATATCACTGGTGTTATAAAGTTGTGTAGCGTAATCGTGAATTGGAAGGCAGGAAGCTAGAATTTGTTTGTAAAGAAAAAAATGAGGGAGAAGAGTGTGTGGTTCCTTTGAGAGGTAAAATGCTCTTCCATGCTTGGAGATTTACACAGAAAATGCATCTGTAAGCAGCTGAATAGAAACAGCTGGTTCTGAAATTGAAACGTATCAATTTGTTATTCAAGGTATAGAAGGAGAGGGTTTTTGAGAATCGGTGTGAGACCGAACTACCATCTGAGAAATAAGCATTTAGCTCTCATAAGAAACCGCTAAGCTCTCTCAGAAAGTACCATCTATTCACAAAAGATACCACAGCACTTCTGGCTAAGTTCTCACAGAAGACATCACAGAGAAAACATCCTTGACAGCCAGATCAGCGGAAGAAAGGTGTCGATGACTTGAGAACAGCAAAAGAAAGGCATGTAGACTTTGAGAGACTAAGTTTTAATTTATTTTCTTATTACTTGCGTTTATATAAGTGGGACTTGCCTTTATTGGAACAGTGTACCAGTAGAATTTAGTTCAGTTAGGGAATAATTAGTAGTCAAGGGGGATTTGTTCGGTTTGTTCATAATTCTATTAATTTATTCACTGTTAGGGTTAAATAAGTAAATTGTTACTTGTGACTTTCAAAGTAGATATCAGGGATTTTCTTTGATTTAACCTCCCCTTCTCCATAACAGTTTAACAGATTAGGTGAGGTGAGTTGGGCTTCTCATGGTGTTTCGGACTTAATTATTAGAAGGGGACCTCCACTGCCATCATAACAGATTGGGGGCCTGTGTTTTGATTTTAATTATCAGAGGGGTTAGACCTCCCATTATTAACACTGGACTTGTCCCTGAGACCTGAACTTGTGCTTTGAAGGCATGAATTCACATCTCGCTGAAACAGCTGGGGTATTTAAATTTAATTGTTAAATCTGATAGCAAAAGCTATTTTCCATAAAGGTGACCATGAAACTAACAGATTGTTATAAAAATCCATCTGGTTCACTGGCTTCCTTTATTGGAGAAAAGCTGCCATCCTACACAGTCTGGATGTGAATTCAGACCCACAACAATATTGTTGTCTCTTAACTGCCTTCTGAAATGACTGAGCCAAATATTGAACCAGTACAACAAAGTTGAATAAGAATGAAGTCAAACAAGCTACCCCCATGAGCTTGGCACTGCATTTAGCAAAGTGGACACAGCTCAGTTGATCCTGCACGGTCCTCCTGACTAACATCTGTGCCAAATTTGGGAGAGCTGATCCACATCCAATTCAAACAAGAGCTTGACATAATTGTACTTTGAGAGTCAAACCTTTTAGGCAATATCCCCATCCTTAGACATTTCCAGTCCCAGTGGCAGGATTGAAGCAGGCAGGATCGGGAAAAATATAGAACGGGCCCTTTGCTTACCATGTCTCTGCTGACCATGATGCCATTCTAATTCCGCCTGCCTGCAGATGGTCCATATCTGTCTCATAGAGTCACAGAGTAATACAGCATGGAAACAGGTCCTTCGGCCCAAACTGGTCCATGCTGACCATGGTACCCACTCAGCTCGTTCCAGTTGCCTGCATTTGGTCCATATCCATCAAAACCCTTCTCATCCATGTACCTATCCAAATGTTTTTTAAATGTTGCTATTGTACCTGTCTCAACCCCTTTCACTGGCAGCCCATCCCATTTACACACCATCTCTGCGTGAAGAAGTTGCCCCTCAGGTCCTTCTTAAATCTTTCCCCTCTCACTTTAAACCTGTGCCCTCTAGTTTTCAATTCCCCATCCCTTGGAAAAAGACAATATGCATTCATCATATCTACGCCCCTCATGATTTTATATACCTCAATAAGGTCAACCCTCATACTGCTAGGTTCCAAGGAATATCCTGGCCAACCTCTCCCTATAACTCAGGCCTCCTACTCCTGGCAATATCCTCATAAATCTTTGCACTGTTTCCGGTTTAACTATGTCTTTCCTATAACTTGGTGACCAAAGCTGTACACAATACTCCAAGTGCAGCCTCATCTACAACTTCTATAACTGTAATGTAACGTCCCAACTCCTGTACTCAATGCCTCAACCGATGAAGGCCAGCATGCTAAATACCTTCTTCACCACCCTGTCCACCTGTGATGCTGCTTTCAGTGAACTATGTACTTGTATTCCTAGGTCCATCTGTTCCACAACACTCCTCAGGACCTTAGTATTTCCTGTATAAGTCCTACCTTGGTTTGACTTTCCAAAGTGCAACACCTCACACTTATCTGTATTGAATTGCATTTGCCAATCCTCAGCCCTCTTCCTCATCTGATCAACATCCCTCTGTAATTTTTGTTAACCTTCCCTATCAACGATATCTCCTAATTTTGTATCATCCACAAACTTACTAATATTGCCTGTACATTGACATCTGGATCGTTTATGTAAATAACAAATAAAGGTCCCAGCACCGACCCCTGTGGCACGCCACCAATCACAGGCCTCCAGTCGAAGAAACAACCATCAACCATCACCCTCTGCTTCCTACCATCGAGCCAGTTGTGAATCCAATTAGCTAGCTCTCCCTGGATCCCATGCGACCTGGCCTTCATGACTAGCCTGCCATGCAGGACCTTGTCAAAGTCCATATAGACGACATCCACTGCTCTACCCTCATCCATCCTCTTGGTTACCTCTTCCAAAAACTCAAAAGATTTGTCAGATATGACTTCCCGTGCACAAATCCATGCTGACTATCCCTGATCAGATGTCCACTATCCAAATCTTGGTTAATCCTGTTCCTCAGTATCCTCTCCAATAACTTGCCTACCACTGATGTCAGGCTCACTGGCCTGT